TGGAAAGGCCTTGCCTTAGCGCATATGATCGATGAGACATGATGCGAAATTGGTGTAGCTGAAATTATGGAGAGGTTTCGGCTCGACGAGTTCCGCGGGAAAATGGAGTGTACAGTCAAAGGCTAAAGTGGCCGGTGTGGTGTGCAAGTCGGCCTTTACAGTGATCCGAATGCCAAAGAGAATAAGGGGAATGGCCTTATGCCAGTCAGAACAGGAATGCGCCTTGAGCGCTGCTTTAAGCTGACGATAAAAACGCTCAACGATCCCGTTAGCTGCAGAATGATAAACTGTTGCACGTTGAGACTACAACCTAAGATATTGCGTAAAGGTTAAAACACTCCCTCAAAATGTGAACCTCTGTATGTAGTAACGGTCACGAGACATCCATGGGTAACGACCCAAAACTCGAAAAAGCCCTTAGCTATCGTTTGAACGGTGCAGTTGCGGAGTGGAAGAGCCTGGGATCAACAGAAGAAACGGTCGACGCTTATCAAGAGATAGATGGTGGTAGAGGGCCAACCAAAATAAAATTCTCGCGTTGAAAACGTGCAGTTGGGGCATTAAAAAGTGCTAATGGCGTTTTGGTTTGTCGACGAATCTTACTCCGCTGGCACTTTATACAAATGCGAGCCCAATGTGCGACTTTGCGGTTCATTTTGGGCCATAAGAAACTCTGAGAGACGAGTCTATAAAGCACGATTTCTGGGGTGAGACAAGTTGTGCAAAGTTGTGGAGATCAGCTTTCAGTATGCATATGGTACTACTGGGCTAGGAGTGCCTTTTGAGACGTCGCACCATACGCTGCCAATCCGAAATGGTCAGAGCGATGGGCCGGAGGTTGAGTCAACAATTGCTTTTAGGAAGATCCAGGTCGGATAGGAAGTTTGGCCTAAGGCGAGATTCTGAGGTCGATGGTATCGGGGGACGCGACAAGGTTGATGCGTGATAGAGCATCTACGACAGGGTAGCGCACACCTGAGATGTCTTATATCCACAGTGATATATATGACTGATATAATCTTGGTAGCGAGACTCCCTGGGAGAGTACCTGTCGGAGGTAGAACGAAATGCAAAGCCAAGTGTCTTGTGGTCGATGAAAGAATGGTTCTCGAGCATGTGCCGAAAATTCCTGATGGCGAGATAAACCGCTAGTAGATCGTGGTCGAAGGTGCTGTGCCGGGACTCAGACAGTTGCGACCGCTTATAGAAGCAACCTAACGATTGCCAGTCATCACTGACCCATTGTTGTAGAACCGCACCTACCACTACGTCAGACGCGTCGGTATTTAGTGCTAGAGGGATGCCTGGATATAGTGTGAGACGATGGCTATGTTGGAGATATTAGGTTTCCGGTTGGCGAAAGCCTTGTGAATATCTTCTGGGAAAAGGACGTTTTGGTGTTCCCACGCAGGTCTATAATCGGCTGCATGAGTTCTGTACAACTAGGAATGGAGCGCATATAGAATTTGCCTAACCCATGGAACCTACTAAGTTGGTTAAACGAATTGCGTTCGGAGTATGTGGTGATTCGGATCTACGAGATCATGCCTGCCCTGGAACAGCGCGGTACAGTTTCCGGACATTGGTAGTCAATCGACCTTGAGCAATGACGCCAGTAGCACGTGCACAGCCTCCGGATACACGTCATTGGTGCACCGTTCCAACCCGTGTCATCGGTTTTCTAATTCGTGTTCCGTGATTCCGATTGCGTAGTTCGTGTCCTGAATTCTGTGCGTAACTTCACTACTACTACCTCTATTCCCATTACAGAGTACTTCGAAAAGGCTACCACCTTGTATAATAGATTCGCGACGCCACATTTAGAGATATGATAGCCTAGTTAGGATAGGCTAGACTGTTCAAATGAACCGGGTTAATTATGACGCCGTGCTGCCTACGATGCGTAAAGAAAGCTCTTAAGTGTTGCGCGTGCTTGTCTTGAGTTGTGCTGGAAAAGTGATATAATTTAAACACCGGAAATTATTGTCCGGGTTGGACGTACCTGATCGATAAAACGCCGAAAGATTATTGCTACGTTGCGAAGGCCA